CTCCTTGCCTCCCTTTACATCTTGAAGCTTTATGCAAAATTTTCATCATTTATTTATGAAATGCATATATGAGTCTTACTATATACAATGTGCTCTTCTAAGTACTTCAACATATTAACTCCTTATGACAGTCCTACGAGGTGCGTACTTGTTGTTCCCATTGTATAGGTGAGGTAACTCCCATAGGACTTTCTAGTAGCCCATTATCCGTTTCCCATACCCAATAGAAATGGCAGGCTGGAGGTGGATATAAAGTGAAAACAAAAGCCTTTGCCTTTCATATGGCCACTCACTTACCTGTCTGGCTGTGCTTGGAGTCTAGAGAGGGCATGACCCTCTCTCCCCTTAGGCAATCTGGAATCTTTTCCTACCTGGCCTACAGTCTGACTCTCTCTCTTTCTGCCTCCTAGCCTACTGTCTGACTGATCTTTTCCCTCTCTCTCTACAGTCTGACTGATTCACTCACACACAGACACACACACATATAGACACACACGGAACATGTATAATGTTCATCGTTCATATCTTGGATTTAAAGTAGTCTACAGTGACAAAAGCAGTCTCAAAACTTGGCGAGACCCGAGTGTGACCTCTTCCTCTGACTCTTGCTGTCTCTATGATTTGTGGCAAGTCATGTAGGCACTTAGTGCTTTGGTTTTCTCAGCTGTGAAGTTAAAGAAGATGATAATGATTATAATAAAAACCGATGGATAAATGAGATGATGCATCTGAGTTCTTAACCCAGCAGTTGGCACATAGAAATGCTCTGTACATGCTAGATCGTTTTGTAATTATTGATATGTAAGACCTTCCCATATATTAGAGATAATCCACTCTTTGGCATATATGTAGCTTATAGAACTGAATTTTGGGGATCTAGAACAGGCTTGTCTTCATCTAGGAATTAAATAGTTGTTTTGAATCTCTGTTTTAAAATGTTTATTTACTTTTTAAGTAATCTCTGCACCCAACATGGGGCTTGAACTCACGACCCCAAGATCAAGAGTTGCACGCTCCACCAACTGAGACAGTCAGGTGCCCATGTTTTTGAATCTTGATGTTGGTTTTATTTTCTTTATGTTTGGCCTTCCATGGGGGCCCTTGGAATCAATTTCGTCATCCTCACGATTTCACTTCTGGTGCCCAGATATCTTTTTGGCCTTGTGTAAATGCCAGTATTCTTTTAAGGCCAGTAGCAAAGCCTGGCACCAGAGTCCAGCTTTACCTGGACTCTTAATGTGATGTTTCCCTCTCCCCTCTCCAGGGTGAATGTTTATGCTGTGGCTAAATAAGAATGTTTATGCCTGGGGCCTCCCGTAGGCAGGCCCAGAGACAGAGTTAGGCCAGGCCTGGAATGGCTATTAATGAACCATGCCCTAAGCCCTTGAGGCCTGAGTAAGAATTCTCAGCAATCGGTTTCTCAGAGCACAGAGTGCCCCTCTCGAATGACCCTGTTATAAAAGCATGGTCACGTGGCCAGCCCTGGGAGGCGGGAGTGACACTGCATTGGCGTACCTCCTTCCTTTTGTGGACTTAGCCAAGTCCTGTTAAACTGCAGGACTGTGAGGACTTGGCGTGGCCTCAGAGCATTCTCCCCTTGGTCACCAACCCCACCCCCCCCGCCCCAAAAGCATATGGAACCCTGGCCAGGGAATAAATAGGGTGGCTTCCCTGAAACCCAAATGGAGTTTGGAAACACAAGCCTCCCTGACTCTCCACCTGAGGTCACATTTGGCCGGGAGGAGGGGAGGGGAGCTCTGGTATCAGGCAGCAAGAGGGATCTAGGAGTTTGGGGTCTGGAGTTAGAGAAACCTGGGTTCGAATCTTGGCTCTTCTATCTTGAGTGTGGTGTGAACCAGGCCACTTTGCATCTCTGAACTTGGTTTCCTCCTCACCAAATGGGAAAAGAAGGAATTGTACCTGTCTCGTAAGATTGCTGTCAGAATGAAGCGAGATAATTCATGTCAGGCAGTTAAGTAGATATGCGCTGAGATTACGTTAAGTGCACGGTACCAGCATCCTCGCGGCATTGGTAACAACGAGTAACAGTAGTGAACAGACTGTGGGAAATGAAAAACCACCTTTGGGCTTCTGTGCTGTCCTCGTGGGTCTCCTTGTGATGCCTCTTAGTCTTAGGCACACATCTGTGAGCTTCGAGAGAGCGCCTGAAGTTCTTGGCTGGCGGGGGGGGGGGGGGGGGGGGGGGGGGGGGGGGGGTGGCGCTTCAGAATATGGAGTCCTTTCCCATTCAGGGCATGGGAGAAATCCTGGTATCGCGGGGCTGCTGTGTGAGTGTGCATGTGTGTGTGCGTGTGTATGTGAGAGAGAGAGAGCACGCTAGTGTCTTGAGGTCCAAAAGGCCTGTTGACTGCGTGGTGGTTGTACCTGACCCATCCAATCCACTTTCCTTTGGGAGAAGGACTGTCACTCTTGACTTCTTCAGTTTTAAAGGACCATTTGCTGGGGCGCCTGGGTGGCTCAGTCAGTTAAGCATCCGACCTCAG